CTTGTGCAACTCCCGTTACATAATATCAGCTGGACACTTCACTCTCTTCTCTAGTCCTCTGTGGCTATGTCCTTGTCCATGGGCTCAGGAGTCCCCAGGTCTCACCACACTTTGGACCAACCAGCCCTTGCTCTTCTCTCTCTCATCTCCAGGTCAATGGGAGTCTATGGAATGTGGTCGAACTCAGCCCATATCTTCATTGCTGTGTTTTCCTTTCTTCCACTTATTGGTAGACCAGCATGGTTGCCAGCAAGTTTAAATGCCTGCTCATGGGTTCCCTTTGAATTTCAGTCTTGGAAGGGTATTTGTCCTGAAGGACTTGATTGCTTGCCTTGATGGCTCTCTGGTAAAGTATTTGCTTGTTCTTGTAGTAACCAATCAGACTGCTGTTTTTGTTTTGGATTTTTCCTGCTGGCCTTTCTTTCAAGAAATATCTTCTGTTCCTCTAGCTACTCCAGGCTGGTCTGCTTGTCCTTTCAAGTGGGACTGTCCCATCTCTGAAGGTTCTGGATGGGCCTCTGGATTCCACCTAGGGCCCTATACACTACAAAGACTCCGTAGGAAGCCTATTTCACTGGGCAAGTTCTAGAATCCCTTTTAGGTAGTTAATGAGTCTCTTAATCTGTAGAATATTAGCTCAAGATTGTTCTAGAAATGGTAATGGCAACGGAAAGAGTGCAAGCACTTTTTCATGCTTCTGCTTGTATCACATTTACTAATATCCTATTGGTCAAAGCGTATCATAAAGATCCACAGACTACCAAGGATTTTGGAAACATATTCTATTTTTTGATAGGAAAAGCTGTGAAGTCACATGACAAAAAGTATGGTTATAAGGAAGGATGAAAAACTGGATTCATGAATTCAGTTGATATACTACTTATATACACTGTAAATACCATTAAAAATAAAGACATTCTTATAACACTGTCCCTCTACACACACACCCCAAATGGAGAGTATTCACTGGCAAAAGATTATGTAGATGGAAATAATAAGGAATTCTTCAAGCAGAGGAAAACGACTCCAGATATTGGTTCAGATATAGATGAAAGACTAATTTACAACAAACATAAGTTAACTATATCAGTATAATAAATATAAAAGAATATTGACCATATATAATAATAAATGGAGTCCTGGTGTGGCGCTGTGGGTTAACGCGCAGGACTGCAAGGTCAATTTGAACCACAAGGTCGGTGGTTCAAGCTCACCAGTTGCTCCTTAGAACCCCTTTAAGGGCCACTATGAGTCACAACCAACTCAATGGCACTTAACAGCAACAACAACACAATAATAATTATTATTTACAGTACCAATGGATAACTGGACAAACGCATAAAGATCTTGTTGTTGTTGTTGTCAGGTGCCATCGAGTCGGAACCGACTCATAGTGACCCCATGCACAGCAGAACGAAACAATGTCCGATCTTGGGCCAACCTCACTACCGCGGTCACACTTGACGCCATCAGTGATGTCACCTGGCTGATCCATCTTGTTGGGGGTCTTCCTCTTTTTCTCTGACCCTCCACCTTACCCAGCATTACATCCTTCTCCAGTGACTGTTCTCTCCAGACAATGTGTCCAAAGTAGGAGAGATGAAGCCTAGCCATCTTGGCCTCCAAGGAGCACTCTGGTTGTACTTCTTCCAAAACAGATCTATTGGTTCTTTTGGCAGTCCATGGCACTTTCAGTATTCTCCTCCAACACCACAACTCAAAGGCATCAGTTCTTCTATGATCTTCCTTATTCACTGTCCAGCTTTTGCATTCATATGAGGTTATTGAAAATACCATGGCTTGGGTCAGGCACACCTTAGTCCTCAAGCTGACATCTCTGCTCCTCAACACTTAAAAAGTTCCTGTGCAGCAGATTTGCCCAATGCAATACGTCGTCTGATCTCTTGACTGCTGCTTCCGCGAGTGTTGATAGTTGATCTTAGGATATATAAAAATGTCATATTTCAGTTACTGATTGAAAAAACATGCAGAAAAATCAGTAAGGATACAGAAAATTGAAAACATGATTAACAAATTTAATCTTTTTGGCATTGTAGGTTGTTGTTAAGTGCTGTCAAGTTAGGTCTGACTCCTAGTGACCCTGAACAGGATTTCTGAGGCTGTAAATCTTTGTGAGAGCAAAAAGCCCAGTCTTTGTAGTGCAGAGATGGTGATGGGTTCAAACCACTGACTTTGTGGTTCATAGTTCAGTGTTTTTTTTTTTTTAAAAAAAAAAAAAGCAAAAACTTATATCCTTTTTCAAATACACTTGGATCTTTCATCTTAGTTGATGATACTTTGGACCAAAACGAAGCTTTTAAATGATGGAACATTAACATTATTCAGGACTTTTTTTTTTGTTTTTTCCACCCTGAGGGACCCAATGCTTATCCTCAATCTAACTGACAAAGAGCAACTTACACTTTATTTCTTGACTGTAAGTTGCATCTTTTATTTTAAGTATTGAACCATGCTAACATCCTTGTCTGAAACACCATCCTCCCTCTTCCTGATCTATCCCAGAAGCCCTCTGTTAAATATTAAGCTCTTGATTCTCAACTTCAAACCAAACTTTTTAATGGTTTGTGACACTGGACCTGGACCCTCGGATAATGCTTTTCCTATACCTGTCAATAGGGTGAGCTAGAGTTATGCAAAAGGAGAGGAGAGGAAGAGGGGACTTGTTCCTTTACATTTTGCTTTCTAAAGCATTGTAAGCATTACTGTACTTTAAAAAAAATATATGGAAGCAGCAGTTTGTTTCTGTTGCCAGTTTTCCTCACAAGTCCAGGACCGGTTTTATCTCGGTCCCTCAGAACCTACAGCATCACTCGTCAGTGCCTCCTCCACAAAGATCTGGATTTCAGTTCTGTGCTTTCCTCCTTTAAGATTCTAAGATCCAAGAACACCACTTTCTTTCCTTTTCTCTCTCAGCCCTAGAGACGGTAATACTTGTTCTATGTTCCTGTACTAGTCCCCATTTGTAGTTTCAATCCTCTGAAACCTATAAAACCAATTCCTTATTATTTCTGTCAAAATAACTAAAGTTCTCTATTTTCTTGAATATTCACAAACTGATAAGATCTCTAATAGGTTAATATAGTAGAACTGTTTTTGTTGTTGTTAAATGCCGTGACTCGGTTCCGACTTATAACAACCCTGTATAGGGTTTCCAAGGAGAGAATGGTGGTTCAAACGACTTTGCATTTCAGCGCATTGGCCCACAGCACCACACCAGAACTCTCTCTGATGGCTTGTTGTTGTTGTTGTTAGGTGCCATCGAGTCGATACCGACTCAGCGACCTTATGCACAGCAGAACGAAACACTGCCCGATCCATAATAAAACAAATTAGATAAAAAGGAAAATCCTGAAGTTAGATTTATTTAAAATGCATTAGGTACAATTGTTTTTGAAATATACAGATCTCTTTTCATTTAACACCCATATTTTCCGCCAGTAAAATGGTTATTAGTTTAAAGTACAGAATAAATACATCACTATCAGGATGCTTATTTTCCCCCCAAGAGTCCTGGTGTGGCGCTGTGGGCTAATGCGCTAGACTGCTAAGTCAGTTTGAACCACAAGATCGGCGGTTCAAGCTCACCAGCTTCTCCTTGGGAACTCTATACAGGGTCGCTATGGGTATGAACTGACTTGACGTCACTCAACCACCACACAATGACAACAAGCCATCTGAGAGTCCTGGTGTGGCACTGTAGAATTAAGCACTGGACCGCAAGTTTGGATTGAACCAAACCACAAGGTCAGTGGTTCAAACTCACCAGCCACTCCTCAGAAACTCTATGCAAGGTTGCTAGGAGTAGAAACCAACTTGATAGGTCTTAACTACAACATCAATGACAGCTGTTCCAGAAGCCGAATTATAGGTAACAGAATGTGGCATCAGGATTGGAGGAAGACTCATTAACAACCTGTGATTTGTAAATGATACAATCTTGCTTGCTAAAAGCAAAGAAATCTTAAAATACTTCTTTGACATTTTTGCTTTTTAATACTTTCAAGAAGTCTTTGTGATGGGCATTGACTGCTGATCTGAGAGAATTCAATTCTTGACAATTTGAATTTTTCATCACTTATCATATATTATTTGTCATGTTATTGTTGTTAAGTAACATCCAGTCAGTTCCGACTCATAGCGACCCTGTATAGGGTTTCCAAGGAGTGGCTGTCGCATTTGAACTACCAACCTTGCAGTTCACACCAACCTTGCAGTTAAGTGCTTATTCTACAGCACCACATTAGGACCCCATTACCTATCACATATTAAAAACAATTACAATAATACAGAATGCAGGACAACAAAGGTAGTATTAGAAAACAGCATGAATATTCTAAAGAAACGTTTGTAAACAGTTCATGCTGCTTAACATTAGCAGGCAGAGGACTAGGAAAAGAAACAAAAGTGAGGCTGTCACAGAGAAGTAAGCTCATTATATTAGTTAGGATTTGTGGAGACCAGAGATCTGAGTGTTAAGAGTCTCCCCAATAATGCAACCACATCTTCATTAAACATTTTTAGAAATGAAAATATATATACATCTACATGATAATATATAACATAAATATTGCATCTATCCTTTTCTTCTGAATGCATGCTCACTCACATTTTGACTGATAGTACATAAAACAGCCTTTATAATAGACCAGGATATCTATATTATACATCTGAATTATACAAAAAGAAAACAGATCCATAACAGCTTAAAGGGATTTTCTTGTCTAAAATTACTATACAAAGTAGGAAGGTGCATTGTAAATCCCTTTATTCCTCTTCCATCTTTTTTCTGAACTTTATTCATATAACATCTGATTTTCTTTTTATAGTCCCCTCTTGTGAAAGGCATCACTATCCAGTCAGCCACCCTAAACCTCACAGCCTCCCCACCTCTAGTCAGCAAATTTAAGACATCTTCCTAAATTTCTTTGGTATTGATTCTTTGCTTCTCTATCAGAGTTCCCTATGACAAGTTCATTTCTTCACAAGTCTGGCACATGAGATTTTAGTTGCTTTTCTGTAGTTTTCTTTTCTTCAGTCAGTGGTGATAGCTTCAGGTCTGTTAGCTTTTGCAGTTGTTGTATCATGGTCATAGTCGTGTTCAAAGTAATACAAATGCGGCCTTTCATCTCTTTCTGTTCAACAGCAACTGGTTTAAAGTATGTATGCAAAGTCCGATATTGAGATTTTATCGCTGACAATTCTTTCCAGAGTGTAACTGGATCTTTCTTGCCAGTTGAATTAGGATGATTGTTCTTGATTTTATATTCCAGCCTGTACAGAATGCAATCCAGACCAGAATCAGCTTTCTGGAACAGTTCCATTTTATTGACCTCCACCTCCATGTGAACAGTTGACATTCCTTAGACTGTGGTGACGCTTAAGCCCCTTAAAATAGTTATTGATGAAGATCAAAGACCACATATATAGTGGTATATATGTGTAGTATATATACAGTATAGATTGTACCTTAGTGAAAAGGAAAAAAAATTTTTTCACCAATGGACCAATAAACAACATCATGTAAATGGAGAAAAGATTGAAATTGTCAGACTTCATTTTACTTGAGTCAACCATCAACACTCATGGAAGCAGCAGTCAAGATATCAAATGACGTGTTACATTAAGCAAATCTGCTGCACAAGAACTCTAAAGTCTTCAAGCAAAGATGCCAGTTTGAAGACTAAGGTACTCCTGCCCCAAGCCATGGTATTTTCGATAGCTTCATGTGCATATATGAAAGTTGGACAGTGATTAAGAAAGACTATAGAAAAATTGATGCATTTTAGTTATGGTGTTGGAAAAGAATATTAACTGTACCATGGACTGCTAGAGAAACAAATCAAGAAGACAATGGAAGAAGTATTGCCAGAATGCTCCTTAGAAGCCAGGATGGCCAGCCTTTGTCTTTCATAGTTCAGATGTATTTTCAGGAGTGACCAGTTCTTGGAGAAGAACATCATGCCAGGTAAAGTGGAGGGTAAGTGAAAAAGAGGAAGACCCTCAGTGGGATGGATTGGCATAGTGGCATCAGCAGTGGATTCAAGCTTAAAATTATGAGGATGGTGTAGGACTGAGCATAGTTTAATTTTGCCCTGATTACAGAGAGGCACTGAAATGTCAAGTTCTAGGTAAAATAAAGGAGAAAACAAATTCTTCAAAATTAGGAAGATTGTGTAAAGAGAGAAGAGCATAATTACCTAATTCTTTTAGCTTGTCTTTGATAAATAAAGAGCACACTAGCATTCCATAGGAGTACTGTGTGGCACTGTGGATTCATGCACTGAATTGCAAAGTGTGTTTGAACCACAAGGTCTACAGTTCTAACTCACCAACTGCTCCTTGGAAACTCTATACAGGGTCACTATGGGTTGGAACAGACTCGATGGCATTTAATAATAACAGCACAAAGAAGACGCATTCTATAAAGCAGCTCATGGAAAACTTACTTGTGTCCTCTGTACCCTTTCCGGCCTATCTTCACTTTCAGAAAATGGGCAAAGGACATGTATAGACTTTTCACTAAAGAAGATATATAAATAGTTAACAAACATGAAAGCGTGCTCAACATCATTAGTTATTGTTGTTGGTAAGTGCCGTTGAGTCAGTTTGGACTCACAGTGACCCTATATAGGGTTTCTGAGGAGCAGCTGGTGGGTTTGAACTACCAACCTTGTGGTTTGCAGTCCAGTGCTGATACTATGGAAAATGCACAATGATCTTACTTCACACTCATTAAGATGGTCATGATTCAAATAAAAACTAAAACAAAACAGAAAACAACAGCTGTTGGCGGGGATGTGGAGAAATAGGAGCCCTTATCCATCACTGGGGGGTTATAGAATAGTACAACTATTGTGAAAAACAGTTTGGCAGTTCCTCAGAAAGTTTAACAAAGAATTACCATGTTGTTGTTAAGTGTTGTTAAGTCGGTTTCGACCCATAGTGGCTCTGTATAAGATTTCCAAGGAGGAGCTGGTGAGTTTAAACCACTGATCTGAGGTTCAAATGGACCTTGCAGTACAGTGCTTTATGCCATAGTGTCTCACCTAGTGATTCCATTTCTAGGAATTTATCCCAAAGAACTGAAAGCAGAGATTCAAACAGATACTTGTATATCAATGCTTATTGCAGCACTAATCACAATGGTTCAAAGATGAAAGCAACCTAAAGGTCCACCAACAGAAGAAGAATGGATAAACAAAACGTGTGAACAAAATGGAATATTATTGTTGTTATGTGTCATCAACTCATAGTGCTGCTATGCACAACAGAAGGAAACAATGTCAAGTCCTGCCCCATTTTAACAATTGTAACGTTTAAGCCCATTGCTGTAGTCACTATGTCAATTCATCTTACCTGGAATCTTCCTAGTTCATGCTGATCCTCCACTTCAATCAACATGATGTTCTTCAGGGACTGGTCCCTTCTGACAATATGTCTGAAGTTGGACAGATGAAATTTTGCCATCCTTGCCTCTAAGGAATATCCCGGCTATAATCCTCCTAAGACAGATTTGTTTCTTCTTCTGGCAGTCCATGGTACTTTCAATATTCTTCATCAACACCATAATTCAAATGCATTGATTATTCTACAGTCTTTCTTATTCATTGTCCAACTTTCACGTGCCTAGGAGGCAACTGTAAATACCATAACTTGGGGTAGGCACATTTTAGTTCTCAAACTGATATTTTTGTTGCAGATTTGCCCAATGCAATGGCATTGTTTGATTTCTTGATTGCTGCTTCTATGAACATTGATGGTGGATCCAAGCAAAAGGAAGTCTGACAACTTTAATATTTTTTCCATTTATCATGATTTATATATAGGTCCAGTGATGAGGGTTTTTACTTTCCTTACAATGATATGTAATCCATACTAAAAGCTGTAGTGTTTGATCTTCAGCAGTAAGTAAATATTTCAAATTCTCTTCGATTTCAGCAAGCAAAATTATGTGATCTGCATATTGCAAGTTGTTAAGGAGTCTTTCTCCAATCCTGATGCCACACTTTTCTTCATATAATCCAGTTTCTCAGATTATTTGCTCAGCATACAGATTGAATTAGTATGGTGAAAGAATACAACCCTGGCACACACCTTTTCTGATTTTAAACCATTCAGTAACTCCTTGTTCTGTACCAATGACTGACTCTTGATCAATGCACAGGTTCCTCATGCACATAGTTAAGTGGTCTTCACAATGTTGTCCATAACTTGTCAAGATCCACATAGTCGAAAGTCTTGGCATAGTCTATAAAGCACAAGTAAACATCTTTCTGATATTCTCTGCTTTTAGCCAAGGTCCATCTGATATTAACAATGATGTCCCTCATTCCACATCCTTTTCTGAATCTGGCTTGAATTTCCCTTTTGATGTACTGCTGCAATAATTTTTGAATTATCTTCAATAAAATTTTACTTGCATGTGATATTAATGATATTGTTTGATAATTTCTGCATTCTGTTTCGTGACCTTTCTTTGGAATGTGCACAAATATGGGTCTTCCAATCGGTTGGTCAGGTAGCTGCATTCCATATTTCTTGACTCAGAGGAATGATTACCTCACAATGCTATATCAGTTTATTGAAACATGTCAATTTGTTTTCTGTCAGTTTCTGGAGGCTTGTTTTTCATCTATGCCTTAAGTGTACCTTGGACTTCTCCCTTTAGCACCATCGATTCTTGATGATATGTTACTTCTTTAAATGGTTGAACAACCCCCATTTCTTTTTGGTACAGTATTCCTTCCATTTTCTTAGGATGCTTTCAACATCATTTAATATTTTGCCTATGGAATCCTTCAATATTTCAAGTTAAGGCTTGAATTTTTTCTTCAGATCTTTCCATTTGAGAAATCCTGAGTGTGTTCTTCTCTTTTGGTTTTCTAACTCCAGGTTTGTGCACATTTCATTATAATACTTGACTTTGTTTTCTCAAGCTACTTTTTGGAATTTTCTGCTCAGCTCTTTTGCTTCCTCATTTATTCCATTCATTTTAGCTTACCTACATTCAAGAGTAAGGAGTTCTGTTAGCATAGTGGTTACAAATCAGGTTGCTAACCTCAAGGTCTGCACTTCAAAATTACCAGCCATTCTGAGGGAGAAAGATGAGGCTTTCTGCTCCCATAAAGATTTACAGCCTCAGAAACCCTAGACAGGGTCGCTATGAGTTGGAACCGACTCCACGGTACTCAACCACCACCACCACCAACACCACACTCAAGAGTCTCTTCTGACATCCATTTTGGTCTTTTCTATCTTTTTAATGACCTTTTTGTTTTCTTACTGTATGATCTTGATGTCATCCCATAACTCTTCTGGTCTTTGGTCATTAGTGTCTAATGCATCAAATCTGTTCTTGAGATGGTCTCTAAATTCAGGTGGGATCTATTGAAGGTTATATTTTGCCTTTCTTGAACTTTAAAAAAATTTTTTTAGCTTCAGCCTGAACTTACATATGATCAATTCCACATTCTGCCCTGCCCTGTTTTTTCTTATGATATTGAATTTCTTCTCCATTTCTTCATACAGGTATATTTAATTTGATCCCTGAATATTTCATCCGGTGAGGTCTGTATGGATAGTTACTTTTAATGTTATTTCAAAAAATATTTGCAATGAAAAAGTCATTGATCTTGAAAAATTCTGTCATGTGATCTAAAGCATTATTTCTATAATCAAGGTCATATTTTCCAATTACTAATCCTTCCTCTGTTTCCAATTTTTGCATTCCAATCACCAGTAATAATCAACCATCTGATTTCATAATTGATCCATTTCAGACTGAAGAAGTTGTTAGAACTCTTCAATTTTATCATCCCTGGCTTTAGTGGTTAGTGTGTAAATTTGAATGATAATGGTATTAACTGGTCTTTCTTGTAGGCATATGCATATTATCCTATCATAGACAGCATTGTACTTCAAGATCTATCTTGAAATGTTCTTTCTGATGATGAGTGTGATGCCATTCCCCTTCAATTTGATGTTACTAGCTTAGTAAGTCATATTATTGTTAGATTCAAAATGGCCAACGCCAGTCCATTTCAGCTCACCAATGCCTAGGATGGTGATCTTTATGTATTACATTTCATTTTTGATGGTTTCCAATTTTCCTAGATTCATAATTCATTCATTCCATGTTCTTATTATAAATGGATATTTGCAATGGTTTCTTCTCATTTTGCGAGTTGTACCCCATTAGCAAATGAAGGTCCAGAGAGCTTTGTTTCGTTCATGTCATTATGGTCAGATCTACTTTGAGGAGTTAGCCCTTCAGTGGTATTTTGAGTGTCTTCCAATCTGAGGTGCTCATCTTCTAGCACTACATCTGATAGTCTTCTGGTGT